AGGCTATGTTAGAATCAAGACCCCCAAGCAAACTAACTGTTAGAGTCCACAGGCTGAGAATGGGGATTGAAAGGTCTCCAGTTTATTAATCAACCAAAGACCCAGACAGAGTTTTAATTCATTGAAAAGCCTCACGCTTAGCCTTGTCTACCACTGCTGGAAAACTCAAAAGCCAGTTTTATGTGTTCTTATCTATTGTCCAATTGGCACTCACTCAGATTTTCTATCTCAAATTTCAGTCTTTTTAACTTAGTGATCAGTTCAGATAAAATAATTGTGGGTGATTGAACATTCATGTAGTTACTAAAAAATAGTCTCAGATTTTCACAGATGATATCAAGCTATCACTTGACCAAGCTATCACTTGACCAAGCTGTCTTAGCTAATTATAGGCCAATTTCCAGCCTTCAAACAGTTGTAAAATAGCTAACTGATCAGCACTAGAGCCATGGTTTACTTCAACATTTTCACTCAGTTTTCAAAGCTCATCAAAGTAGAGTAGAAGCTTTACAACAGGTTACTGCAGTGGACTCATGTCTGTGTCTATCCTGGTAGACTTACAGCCTTCTTCCTGTTTAAAGGGAGTTTTTCCTTCCCACTCTCACCAAAGTGCTTGCTCGTAGGGGGTTGTCTGATTGTTGGTTCTTCTGAGGCCATGTCTATGCCCTGTCAACAATGACAAGCTCAGAGGGTAGTAGCTTGTTCTTTATGGATAAACTACTTATTTTTGTTGGTAAATAGAGGGAAGACCTGACTGTGAAGCAAGCTGCTAGAGGTCTGTGGTTTTTACTGTCTTCAGATCAGTTACTATCTGTGAAACACAGCTAGCATTAACAGGTAAACAAGGTTCAGTGATTTAACATTGTAAGGGATGAGTTTCCGTTTGCCATCTGCCCTTGGTCAACATGTCTGGTGTAAAGGAGATGAAGTATGAAAAAGCTGTTAATAACTCCTGTAGGCAGTTATTAACTGTAACTCCTGTAGGCAGTTATTAACCCTAGGTACTCATGAACTGACCAGTGCTCCAAAGAAGATAGTTGTAGGTAGTCTCTGTACAAATGATGGTCCACGGCGTCGTTCAACATAGCTGTCATCAAGTGCCAAGCTGCTGAAGTTGCGATTCAGTTCAAGTGCCATTGTGTGCCAGCTCCCATCATTGATACGACGACCCGAGATGCCCAGCATGTCAGGGCTGTCATCATTTCCACCAAGGCCACAAGCCAACTGGAACCACAGCTTCCCATCCTCCAACTGCATGGAGACACACACACACACACACACACACACAGTCTTTGAAACATCAAAGTACATAAATGTAGTGTTACATAAAAAAAAAAACATTCTGCAAAAAATTTAACTGTAAGAAAAAACATAGATGGTTGGTGATGACAGCTTCAAGATGCCTCCTGTATCCTGAGAAACTAATCGCATGCATTGCTCAGGTGTGATTGTGGTCTATCCTTCCACACAAATGGTCTTCAAATCCTGAACGCTCTTACTATGAACACAAGCTTTAGGTCTTTCCATAGATTTTCAGTTGGATTCAGGCCAGATAATTGGCCGGGCCATTCTAGCAGCTTTGTTTTCTTTCTCTGAAACCCATTTTGAGTTTCTTTGGCCGTGTGTTTGGGATCATTGTCTTACTGAAGCATCTACCATTGTTCCTTCTTGATCATCCTGGTACATGGCAGTAAATGTTTTTAAATTAAGAATATCCCTATACATTTTTCCATTCATCCTTTCTTCAATTATTTGAAGAGTGCCAGTACTGTTTGCTAAAAAACAGCCCCATACCATGATATTAACACCTCCAAACTTTAATGTTGATATGGTGCTTTTGATTGATGTGCAGTGCCTTTTGACCTTGTGTGTATTATGGCCTAGTGTGTATTATGGCATTCAAAGAGTGCCATTTTGGTTTCATTGGACCAGACTGTGAAATTCTCCCAGTATTTCACAGGCTTGCCTAAATTTTGTTCAGCAAACTTTAAATGCCCTTCCTTTAAAGTTTAGGCCTATAAAGTGTATGGCCTTGTTTAGAAATTCTGCTGTAATCAATTCCATCAGTATGTTTTCCAACAATAAGGTTGCAAAGGTCTTAAGAGAGCTCATTGGTTTTACTCAACATTAGATGCTCTTTGTGTGAAACCTTGGTAATGAGGCACCACTTTTATAGGCCATCAATGAGGACTGAAGCTACTGATATTAATTTGCACTAAGTGGCAGGATTGTTTTCCAGTTATTGATAGATTTCAGCTACTGTCATCACCTTCCATGCATTTTAGCACCTCCCTTTCTTCTTCATCTGTTCAATACTCCTTCCCTGTGTAGTTTCTCATTATTACACAAACTAAATTTGTGGACATCTATGGTTTGACTTTGCATGTGTGGATTGGATGGGTTGTATACATACTGACGAGAAGTAGTAATCTCATAATAATAAGGTAGTATTGATTAATGCAACATGTGAATATTCTTCTTTGAAGGTAAAACTGAAGGTAACACACAATATATTTAATGGAGTGGCTTATTATCATTAAACAAGGGTGACAGTTTCTGTATAATAACTTGGAATCAAAGTTGCAAAATGCAAAGCTACTATTAAGAACCTACTAGATTCTTTGTGAGAAGAGTGTCAAGCCCTTCACAGAGACAGGCCCAAATGCCAGACACAGACACACACTGAAGGCCATCATCATGGTAACTCATTGACTTCACTGCTGAAAGAAGTGCAAGCCAATGAGAGTGAAAGAGTTGATTCATTTGAAAGTTACCATTTCATTGGTTAATCATAATTTCCTCTCTTTCTCTGCCTTTGCTATTGGCTGAGATTTTTTATGTTACCTCACATCACATGCTTATCTCTCTTCCAGTTTAACGGTTATTCACTATATTGCTCAAAGTATTGGTAAATGGACTGATTCTTATATAGCGCTTTTCTACTCTCCCGGAGTACTCAAAGCGCTCTATACAACACGCCACATTCACCCAGTCACACCCATTCTCACAAGCACTACCTCTATACTGAGTGCTTTCTAACTACACTCACACACATTCACACTCCGATGGATGCATCGGAGAGCAACTTGGGGTTAGTATCTTGCCCAAGGATACTTGGCATGCAGACTGGAGGAGCCTGGGATCGAACCTCCAACCTTCCGATCAGTAGGTGACCTGCTCTACCTCCTGAGCTACAGCCACCCCAGTATTCACTCACCCACCCAAATGATAGATCCAGGTGTTCAAGTTACATTCATGGCCACAGGTGTATACAACCAAGGACCTAGGTATGCAGATTAATTCACAAATATTTGTGAAAGAATGGATCAATAGCGTGCAGAGTTTGCAAACTTTCTGCAGAGCCAATTTCTACAGTCCTCCAAACTTCTTGTGGCCTTCGGATTAGCTCAAGAACAGTGTGTCAAGATCTTCATGGGCTGCATCCAACATTACATCAGATACAGAATGGTAAAGCATGCAACCACTAGACAGTGGAGAGGTGTTCTTTAGAGTAATGAATCACACTTCTCTGTCTGGCAATCAAATGAATGAGTCTGGATTGCCTGGAGAACCGTAATTGTCTGACTGCACTGTGGCAAGTGTAAAGTTTGGGGAGGGATTGTGGTGAGGGGATGTTTTTAAGGGGTTGGGCTCAGTCCATTCGTTCCAGTGAAAAGACCACCTAATGGTTCATACAAAGCACACCAAGACATTTTGAACAATTTCATTCTCCCAACTTTGTGGGAACAGTTTGTCAGTGTGCAGCTATCACATTACTACTACAGGTGCCCAGCTACTATATTAGGTACACCTGCATACCTTGCAAATTTATTTGCCATATCTGTGGCTGGCTATTTTCTCTGGCTGGCTAAATGCATAATCCTTCTGTGTGCCTATTAAAATGGTTGATCACAGTTTGTTTGTTTTTTTCAGGTTTTGTAGCCTTTACCACTAAAATCTTAGTAGGAAGCCACATACCAAGTCCAGTACTAGCAGCAATCCCACTGGAGTTTGGACTTGACTAGTCCAAATACACATGAACCACTGTTCATCTTTAATGGTAATAATGACTCATAACTTCTTAAAGTTTGCTTTAATAGGCTCTCAACATGGAATTAGAAAGAAACATTAGGTTTTGTAGTCCTGTTTCCTGGTTATTACACAGAAACTACCAAATGTTTTTATAGGTTATAGGTCACACCATTCACATATTAGTTACAATGTTACCTTCAAAATAATTCCAGGGTTATATTATAATAATAGTGTAATATGTTAAAGCATCAACCAATATTACCTTATTATTACAAAAATACTATCACAAAGCAGTATATAAAAATTCTCTATTGTTAGCAAAATATAACTATACTATTGCTAACTGGTTTTGCCCCATACTCATGTTTTTTCCCCCACAATATTAGTTCCTATTTTGGTACAATTATTACCCAGTTACATGAATTTCAATGTAATATTACACAGCTATACCCGTGTGTCAATAATATGTATCAACGGTAGTTGGCTACTACATGGATATTAATTTGGTAATTAAGTGGTATTAATGTGCTATTTCCATATTATTGCTTTCTTATTTCAACCTTAATTTACCACCTTATTTCTGAGTCATAATTTAAAGCCCTATCACTGAAATATCGACTTATAATATAAACTGCTCCATGATGTTTTGCTGCTTGGTTATTTCATTCATAGGTGGATCAGAACTATACTAACATTCACATCAGGTGGGCTATACATTGACATTGTCGTGTTGACTGCAAACTCATGAGGATAAAATGAAGATAAAATAGTCTGTCTTTAACAGTCAGATATTGCATTGCATTTATGCGCCATTAACTGTGTATGTAAATGCATAATCCCTGTCTTTTGCTCTAGAGTCTTTTTTTTTTTGTCATGAGTTTCTGTCCTGACACCGGAATGTGTGGCTTGTTTGCTTGATAGCCATAGAAGTGAGTGAAGCTAGGTCTCTAATTAAAAGAATGCAACATTCCTGGTTCAAAGTATGTGTAGCAATCTGTAACCTCAGTTGAACCATTTTGTTTATAATAGAGAGAAGTAGCAGTGGAGATAAAGTTGCTGAGAGTTCTGCAATCCTATGAGCTAGCTGTCTCTCTGGATCAATTGCTAAAGTGTGGTATTAGCACCTAGTAGTCGTACAGGTAGTGCAGGGGTCGGCAAGCTGCGGCTCCGGAGCCGCATGCGGCTCTTTAGTCCTTATAGTGCGACTCCGCGTGGTTTGGGAAAATAAATTAGAAGTATTTAGCTGAAGTGTATTTTATTTCTGTTAGTTATTTTTTTAACTTGTAGTTCTAAATTGGAAGATTGTTGTGACATTGTAATATAAATATAAAATTATATTTTATTATTTTTTCATCGCTCAAAATAAGCGTCACACTCGGGGAAGCCGATGTACCCGCCGAAACGCCGTGCATTTATCGAGACTTTCAACCCCAGGTAGGCCAGTTATGGATCTTCGGATCCACATTGTCAGCAGCTATTCTCCTCCGTGAACTATGTTAAAAACAAACACCGCTCACGCCTCACAGATGACAGCTTACAGTCCTGCGTAAAGATGAAAGTACAGTCCCATTGTAAACATATCACGGCAGACCCGACAATGTTTCCATGAACATGCTTTTCAGCATCTCTTTATTGACCACTTTTCACACACTGTTGCTGACGCATACAGCCGGCTGTAGCTTTTC